TCTTGAGGTCATCTTTGACTTCTTTCCTTTTCTTAAATTCCACATCCTATCCAATAGTATATTTTGTGAGTTCTAACAAAATATATCTAAATCCAACTAATCCACCACCTTACCTATTATCCTAGTCCATGTCACAATTACCTTTTGCTTAGGCTGTGTTCGCAATAGCCTCCTAACTAGTCTCTGTTTCTGTCCATGATCCCCTGCTGCCTGTTCTCCGTGCACCAAGCACCATCTGCACCATGCTGTATCCACAGTGTCTACACAGTTCCTGGCACATGGTCAGTATTCAATAAATGAACTAAATGAATGTTTGATTAAAATATTTTAAAGCTACTTGGCTTATAACCTTATGATAGACACCGAAAGGATTTAGTTGAAAGTGATGCAAAATTCTAAATAGTTTCTTCTTTTTAAAATTGTCTTACTAAATAATTCCTTTAGAAATGAGTATAGGATGATAAGGTAGGACTGCATAATTTTGAAGTATCCATCAGACTACAATTTTGTGAACCTATAACTTGCTAAAAGCCATAAGACCAAGAATAAGGCAGACAAATCAACCTAGATGAACCCTTTGTAATATTCTAGAAAAGTGTACCAGGTTTAGAAAGTAGTTTTGTGAGCCCTGAATTTGTACCAGAAAGGTTGATTTGTGAGTCCTACATTTGTACCAGACATGTATATTTTATATTCACACCCAATTAGTCAGGACCTACTATTGTATGAAAAAGAAAATAAATTACCCTGTTAAATTAGATCTTTAACTAGGAAGTAAAAGTAGAAAAATACTTTGTGTCAAATTATGAATCTCTAAATATCATGCTTCTTTGGCAGTACTGTTCATTTATGAAACTTTTACTTAAGGATCTTAAAACAAATTAAAACGTCTGGTATAATTTCTTCAAACTGCAAAGTTGTTGTTTAAGGTTATGTTTAACTATTGGGAGATTAAGGTCCAGGATGCTTTTAACATTAATGTCTGGTTTCTCTGACTTCTCTGGAGTGATTGTGTCCAAACCAAGAGATGCTACAAAGGGCAGTTGCCAGCAGCAACAGCCTCATCCTTTTGGTAGAGAACAAGGGGCTTGGTGGGCCATCGCCTGCTGCTGAAGGCTGGGAGGTCTGTTCTCTTCCTAGGCCACTTCCCGTCTATAACACCTCTCCTATCTATCCCCATTTTTTTCTTGAATAAATGAGAGATGTACATGATTTCTGTGTCTGGAAAATTCAGAGAATCTTTTCTCTTGATTATTAGCAAGAAGACACTTGCAAATATAAAGAAGAAAAAGAAAGGGAGAAAGATAGAGAGGTAACCAGAAGAGAAAAGGGAAAAAGGAAAGGAGATAGGAAAGAAAATGAGGAAAGAATTCATTAACGCTTAATTTTTGAATGATGTTGAAGAAAGAAACTAGTGTGTGTGTGTGTGTGTGTGTGAGTGCATGGCACGTGTACTACCTCTGTGTGCTGAGAAGCCTTGAAGCAAAGCTGCACCTAAGCAAAGAGCACACCAGGAGCCAGGATCAGGGCTTCTTGGAGAAATGGCTGATTCTAGAACTGGAACAGGAAAGAACAAGATAGACCTGGAGCATCTTATTGTAGCAGAACATAAAGTGTCCAAAGAGTGACAGAGGCATGTCAAAGTGACATGGGAGCAGCCTGAATGGGCTTCTGCTGGGCAGATTTAGGAATAATTTGAGCATCAAAATGTAATAAAAACAATAACAATAGTAATAATTGCAACCTATTATGTAAGGTAAGAATTCATGAGTCTATTCTTATTTAAATTTTAAAAACCAGACAAATGGAGAGAGAAGAGAAAGCCACTCTTCTTTACAGCAGAATTATAACCAAAAAATGTAGAAGGGATGATAGACTTAGAAAATCATCAATGTATGCTAAACCTGGTGAGTAAAATTTTGAAGAACCTGGATATTCACATAGACAAGTATCTCTAAACAAATTCTGTATTAATTACAGAGAGACAAATAGCTACTTTTCACTGGAGAAACCTGGTGGATACCAAAGTAAACATCATCAACACTGGAACCACTGGTATCAAATACCTCCAGATATGGTGCAGAGAAAGATGAGCCATCACTTCCATGCCAGAACAAATAACTTGAATTTAACCATGAGAAAACATCAGACATTCTATGAAGTAATTGGTCTGTACTCTTCAAAAATGTCAAGGTCATGAAAGTCAAAGAGTCAGAGGAAAGATTCCAGGTAAAGATTAAAGCAACATGACAGCTAAATATAATGTATGATCCTAGGTTGGATCCTGAACTGAGGAAAATGAAATAGCCATGTAAGACATTATTGGAACAATTGACAAATTTTGAATATAGACCAGGGATTAGTATCTTAGTCTGCTTGGGCTGTCATAACAAAAAACCATAGACTGGTAGCTTAAACAACAGAAATTTATTTTCCCACAATTCTAGAACCTGGGGGTCCAAGATTAGGGTGCCATCATGGTCAGTTTCTGGCAAGAACTCTCCATTTCTGTCATAGACAGCTACATTCTCACTATGTGCTCACATAATCTCATTTGTGCACAACATAGGGGAGGAAGGTAGAGAAAAGTCTTGCTGGTGTCTCTTCTTAAAGGCCACTAGTCCCGTCAGGCTAGGACCCCACTCTCATGACCTTATCTGTCCCTAATTACCTCCCAAGGGCCCCATCTCCAAATATGTTCACATTGGGGAGTTAGGGCTTCAACATATAAATTTGGGAAAAGGAGACACAAACATTCAGTTCACAACATTCTGGTATCAATGTTAAGTTTTCTGACTGTGGGAACTATGCAGGGGTTATGTGAGAGAATGTTCTTGCTCTTGGGCAGCATACCCTAAAATTTTTAGGGGTAAAAGAACACATGGTCTCCAAATTATTGTCAAATGGTTTCAGAAAAAAATGTATATATAGATATACAAATAGACCTACAGAATAAATCAAATGGGGAAAAACAGAAACAATTGTAGAATCTGGGTAATAGGTATAATGGGGGTTCCTTGTACATCAAACTAAAAAAAGTTTATGCAAAAGAATCCTTGGAGTTACAAGGTAGACCCTTTTTATCCTTCACCAATCAACCTATTCTCTTCATCTGGGATTAGTAAGCTTCCTCTATTAATTTATTCTTTCCTGAAGAGTTGATTAGTCCTCTTTCAGAGAAGAAATAAAAATCTGAGAGTCATCAGGTAAACACGGCAAAAAAATTCTCAGCATTCATGACATCAGGTTAAAATCAATAATGTGGCATTTCCCTAAAGTGCAATTTAATAGGAAAATACAAAGTTCCACATTTGAATTTTAAAAATTAATTGTTTGAGGGCACCTGGATGGCTCAGTTGGTTAAGCAGCTGCCTTCAGCTCAGGTCATGTTCTCAGGGTCCTGGAATCGAGCCCCGCGTCGGGCTCCCTGCTCAGTGGGAAGTCTGCCTCTCCCTCTACCTGCTGCTCCCCCTACTTGTTCTCTCCCCTCTCCCCGTGTTAAATAAATACAATAAAATCTTTTTAAAAATTAGCTGTTTGGAACAAAATTAAAGAAACTTAACAATCTCTTACATGAGTAATAATGAGCAAGTAAAATATAAACTTAAAATACAACTAAGAAAAAAATAAAATTTTTAGTTTCTCTCTTAAAGTTATCAGTAAGTCACCAATTTTTCCTTATGGAAACTGTTTAGCTTTAATTTCATGTGGTTATTAACTTATAATCTATTCCTTATTGAAAACATAATTTTTAATGAGGCACTTTTATTCAAAGTTACTAACATTTTTTTCTCTTTCTGCAGAAAGCAAAAGTTTACAAAAATAGGAACTGACATTGGTCTTTTTAAAAATCATAACTTCCGTTTTTATCATATAGAGTTTATTTTCTCTGCCTTTCCAAAATCCATGAACTTGAAATAACAAGAATATATCCATTCTCATTTTCCATTTAAGAGAAATGTGTCACATCTTAAAATTTGCAATATATAAAATAAAAAATATTTATATGAGTTACAGATACCACTTTTATGCCCACATATGGTAGACTACTTGAAAAGTTGTTTTTTTTTTTTTAAGATTTTACTTATTCATTTGAGACACAGAGATACAGAGAGAGAGAAAGCATGAGGAAGGGGAGAGGCAGAGGGAGAAGCAGGCTCCCTGCTGAGCCAGGAGCCCAATGTGGGACTTGATCCGAGGACCCTGGGATCATAACCTGAGCCAAAGGCAGACGCTTAACCATCTGGGCCACCCAGGTGCCCCACTACTTGAAAAGTTTTATTCCTACCTGGGAGAAGGTAGGAGCTATGTTTCTAGATTTTTGCCCTTTGGTCAATAATTTCCAAGTAGCATTCTCCCATATATTCTTCTGAGACCTTGAATGCTGTGTACTCGATGCAAGGTTAGCAATTTGAGCAGGTTTGGTAAATCGCGATCTACTTCGTGAACCGAGTGGTAAAAATCATCACAGTTACTCCAGATATGGGCCTGTAATTGCCCTGCTCTCCCTATCACCTTAAAGAGTAGAGAACTGTATTCCATGGGGTTGAGACCTTGGAGACCTTGGAGGAGAGGCAGTGAAGATTAGAAGCAGGATTCTCTCCAGGAATGGCATGATGGTAGATCTGACAATGGTGTGAATTGTGTGGACAACAGGAGGGCAGTAGGTGCCTCCAATGCGTCCAGGCCGTCAAGGGGGAACCCAACGAAGAGAGTGCTGTATATGTAACTTGTGGAAGGGTTTATAGAACAAAGAGAAGCCCCGCATCCAGCTCCCTTTGTGCTGTAAGGAATCATAGGGTCAGGTGCTACCACTGAGGTGTTGACCCCTCATCACTGTAAATTTATTGCCCATTTTGCCTGATTCTTTACTAAAACACCACGTGTCTCACAGAAGTAATACTTTATCTTTCAAATGCCTGTCATGGCAATTTTGTTCCTCTCCCAAAGCTTTCTCTCACACTATAAACCATTCTGCTTCACTTTTTTTTTTTTTGCAGGGTCCCCTTCCCTGGACCTGTGCTGAGGCTCCGTGTGAATCTCCAAGATCTCCCCGCCGTCATGCAAGGTTTGTCGTGCGCTCACAGGAGCCCACCTTACTGCTCCGCCTTCCTTTCTCCTCACCCAGAGTAGACTGCAGTTTATCAGTGTGCCCGCTTGTTCTCAAGCCTGCTGTAGTCCTTCTAGCACATAGATTAATTTTTCTTCAGAGAGCCAAGAAGGGACATAAGCATTTTCCTACTCGAAAATCTGCCAGAAATTTCAAAACAGTCTAAAAGTGTTAAAGGGTATATGCAGCAAGCTTCTAACTTCTTCCTTTTGCAGAAGCTTACACTTCAGCTCAGGGGCATTTTCTCACCACTTCGCATCCTGCCCACATCCCTATGTGCACACTCTTAGGCATTATTACATCCATGCACTTCTTCCTGACTGGGGACTTAAGTCCTTCTTACATAGGGTCGTGGGTAGAAAGGTTTTTTCAAGAGCATTGTATGGAAGCTGGGAGACGACAGTTATAAAGGGAGGGTGACATTCTATTACACTTGTGGTTTTGTGGTCACAAGGGATCGAGACCAGATAGAAATGTAAGGAAATAAACAAGTCCATGTTAACACAGGTGTGTACAAGGGTATTCCAGAAAGACCTGAGGTGATCCAGGAAAAAGTTTGGGATGTTTTCTTTTCTTCTTCCACTGACAACAAAATCTACTGTTCTCTTTTGAAATTTTTGGGAAAGAGATGGCAGGTGAGGAGGTTAGAGCTAGATGTGTATACTGCAACTGTTAACCCAAAAGCACAATTGATTTGTCACTATTGGTCTAAAAATAAAATGGGAATGATCCACGTGAAGCTGAATATAGGATACAATCTAGTTTCCCTCTTTTATTACAATCTTTGGCTACCGGTGATCATTTTGCTTTTTCCTTAGGGAGTAGGAAAGACAGAGGAGGGACAGGATTCACTATAACATTTAAACAGCAGTGCTATGGTGCTTGTGATAGCCATCTCAGTGTGATGTCATAAGTAGCTGGTGTTGCCTTGGCAACACTACAATGGTAAACAAAGGTGTTTTCTGGATGGCTAGAGGAAATGTGTCTTTTATACTGTCTCACACCCTCCTGACCCCAACTCCCTACCTTGGGTAGAAAAGATTTTCTTTCCTTTTGCTATAAATCTTCCACCTTGGGATAGACTAAGTGATGTGAGACACTATTTTCTTCCTCTGTTTATTTTTATATTCCACAGTTTTACAATGCTGGAAATTTTGTTGAAACAACCACTCAATTTAGAGAATATGATATTGCATATTGAATTCTAAAATCCCCTGTTGTGTGGCATTGCTAAGAATGCACGGGGGGACATTCCGTTATGTGAAATCTCAGGGTTATGACAAGTTTGACAAGATGAGCGTGAATGACTTTACCTCATCTGGCCACACAGCCAAGTCTACTATCGAGGTTCTTGAAAACAGATAAGGCAGATGAGGAATGGCTCTCATGAGACAAATGCAGAGCTGTTGTAACTGGCCTAGAAAAAATAAATCTAGGGCATTTTAAAGCATTGTTTAACGAATAAAATAATGTGATGTGAAGAATGATAGAGGACAAGCAACCATGTGGGTTTGTACTCTATAGGCCTTCACAATAAAGATTACAAATCATTATTGTTTTGTAAAAGCAAATATACATTTTAAAATTCAACTGGGAAAGGAGGATGGAAGGGAATAAAGTGTGCCAAAAAAAGCATTCATTAAAGTGTTTATTGGTGAACTGTGGCTGTTTTTCATGAGCCACTGATACCTACTCTGCTATATAGAAACACAAAGACAATCCTCAAAGGTAATGTCCCTTGAGATCTTTGCAATATTTCTCAGTTAAGAAGGGCTATCTCCCATGAAGGGAAGGGTTTAACTTTTTTTATATCAGGTTAAAATACAAGATATAATGCATGTCCTTATCAGACACATTAGTATGGATAGCTTTCTTATTTCCTATTTTCTAGGGAAAATTAGATGTTTGGTGGGATGTGGGAACAGAGGGGGCACACTTTGGGGTAGAGATTGGGAAACAATGGTTGGGACCTAGAGTTTGGGTGAAGATGAGCCTGAGTGATCTTCATCTAACAAACCCGGGTCAAAGTCTATGATCTGGAGGGAAACCATCCAAGGGGGAAGGAACTGGGGACCAGCATTGTTACAAAAGCACTTCTGTTCAGGATAAAGCAAATTTCTCTGCTTGCTGAGCCATAGCCTAAAAAAGTAAAGTTTAGTATTTACAATCTCTGTTTCTCAAACTACTCAGAGCAAGTTTCAGGACTATAAAGAGAGGAAGAGAAAAGGAGATTAGCTTGGCATTTGAAAACACATGACCCTCACTGACTATCTGTCTATGGCAACTAAGAGGTTGCAGGAAAAATAATACAGTGATGGGTAGGTAGCAGAGGGAAAGGGAAGAGGTCCATGAAGATGAGAAGAGAGAGGGAAAAGAGAGGCAAGAAACAAAAGTGGTTTCGAAATTTGATTTTTCCTTTATCCTGTCTCCACCTACCACTTCATGATTGCTATAGGTATATAGAGTACCTTAATTTGCGAGCATCTGTTCATCCGATTTGAATTCCATATTCTCTAGGGGAAATTCTGTGATGCAATTGAACATAAAATTTTCGCAGAGCTATTAGTCACAGCAGAGGAAGGAAGGGGGTCTCTTACCTGAAGTGCTGCTTTGAAAATGTCGTCTGATACTCCTGGCTTTCCTAATTAAGTGCTATCAACCCTGCAGATGGTAAAATGATGTATATATTTTGCTGAATTCCCTCAGCAAGGAAGCTGTCAGTGGGGGGAGTGCAATAAGAATAATATTCTTTGAAAAAAGAGAAGGTCCCAGTGGAATCTGTAAACTTAAACCAAAGTAAATAACACCTGAAAACTATTTTACAAGAGTATATGAATCTTTGACTTTATGCTAAAAGATTGAGAATCATAAAAAAGAAGCATGTTTTTAAGGAGAGTTAAAAGGAGAAAAAGCTTTTAGTCTGACTTTGAAGTCCTACTCTTCTCCATCATCAGTGATTTAGCAAAAGCCAGACAAGTACATAATTCCTAAAGATTTTCAGGGAAAAAATTTCAAAATGATACTATAATTTTGATAAAATTTATCATCCAGAATGCGACATTTTCAAAACTCTAAGGAGACATCTTTATTAAAGATTTTATTTATTTTATTTAGGGAGAGAGACAGAGAGACAGAGAAGGAGAGGTTGGGGGAGGGGCAGAGAGAGGTGGGGAGGGAGACATTCTCAAGCAGACTCCCCGCTGAGCACGGAGTCTGATTTGGGACTCGATCCCATGACCCTGAGATCATGATCTGAGGCAAAAACAAGAGTTGGATGCTTAATCAACTGAGCCACCCAAGCGCCCCTCTCAGGAGTCATTTTAAAAAATAGTTATATTAAGACAACCTGCATAAGCCAGGAGTGTCCCAGGCAAACCAGACAACGAGTAGTACTGGCCAACCTTCCTTACCTCTATCTTATACAAGTACACAGTTGGTCTTGGAACCACTGCTGCAGATCTTCCTACAGACTGGAGGATAAGCCACTGTGACATTACTCATTGTGTCCCCACATTGTCAGGTCAGAAAGCTGAGGCCCAAAAAAGTTAAGTATCTCTCCCATGGTCTTATAGCAATCTGTGCACCATTCTCTCTTGACTCTTAGAGGTAGCCTTCCTGTCATTCCTAGATTGCCAGGAATGTTCCTTATTGACTCCCTGAAACTAATTAACAACCATAACTGTAACACCCCAGGGACAGTTTCAACAGTGTGCTTTCTTTTCCTCAGCACTGGGAACTTATGAATTATACTAATTTTTCTAGGCCTCAATGCATGATTGTCTGAGTGCTGTCATATTCATAGTGATGTTCAATTATGAAGTTACAGTATTTATTTCTTGATAATAGGCAATAAACTAAATATACCTTTGAATATACTCGTGAAGATGAAGTCTTTGAACAAGCCCAAGTTAAAGGATTGTGATTGTCAGCTCATCATTGTTTCTGGATGGTGTGTTCTTTTTCTACTTCCTCTTCTTCTTGAATGGAATTTAATTTTGTTCATGTGGAGAGAGAAAAAGGAATGTCTAACATTTAAGTCTCTTTGCACTGCTAAACTTTCTCCTCTTAGAAGCAAATACTAGGAATGAACTCTACAGAGCCGAAGCGGAGTAGCAGTAGGAACATAAGGGGCAATGCTTAAGCTGAGTCTTGAGAGAGAGATTTATATCAACGAGGGCTTTAGGATGCTGTATATATAGACCAAAGCATTCAGGAGAATATTGAAAATCAGGAGTTTTTGCAGGGTGGGTGGAGTATTTTTGGGAAATGGCACTGAAGAACCCTGCGTAATGTGCTAAGGAGCTTAATTTTATTCTGTGTCCAGTGGGGAATGATTGAAGGATTGTATGTAGGAGAGACATTTATGGTATGCACCTTTTAAGAAGAAACTCAGGTGGCTTTGAAAAAGCTAGATTGTAGGGGAATGCAACACAATGCAACATAATGCTCGATGAGCAGCTAGGAGACTCTGGCAAAAGCTCCAATAAGAGAGGGCAAATCTGAGCTAAGGACCTGCCTGAGAAGATTGATAAAAATGGATGGTTCAGCAAAAGATTCATGTATTAAACTGATAGGACTAGGTTTTCAAAAAATAAAAATATGTAATGAAAAGATAGTGACCTATATTATGAAAAATGGAAGAGGAGAGGATGACTAACAAATTTCTAGCTATAGAAACAAGACAGTTGGTGGCGTCCTAAACTGAGGTTATTACTGGAGAAAGAGGGAGTATTAGTTGGGCTTCAGTAGAATGAGTTACATCTCGATATATTACTTTTATGTTTTCATGGAACATCAGACTCAGATGTCCAGAAACAATAAGTATCATCAATCTAACTCTCTTTTCTTTATGGGGATGCTAAGATTCAGAGTAATGAAGTAAGTTTAGGAAGATCACCCTTACAGAGGTGGAATTAAAACAAGCCCCTGAGATTCGGTCAAGTTTTGCTGTGTCTCTTTCTGTGAAACAGATTCTCCATGTTGTGCCATTATTTATTTGGTTGGTTAAAAGGAAAGTTGGTTGAGTTAATTAACATTTTCATTTCTGTAAAGACTGCCTGAGTATTTCCTTTTTCCTAAGTTACTGCCTTGCACCCTAGGTTTGTTTTGGCATTAATTGTCTGCATTAAGAAATTGCATAAATCCTGCTTGTGAAGCAAAGTTCTGTAAGGAAGATGACACATCTCTGTGATGTCAGGGGTTCCTGAGAGGGTTTTCTAAAAGTTTTTGCTGAAGGCAATAATATTCAGTCTGGGTGTCCCCATTTCCTCTTTTTGTTTTATTCTGTGCAGCTGTGTTGGAAGCAAGCAGAGGAAGTAACCAAAAGTGGATCTGGATTAGGATGATTCTCAAACTTCCCTTTCTAGCATCTGTCTTGCTATGGGGCAATTCAAACAGGAGGCGACCTCACAGACAGGCCTTTGTCAGAGCTAACAGCATGTTTTCCTTCTGAGAAATGCCCTTTTGCCTAATGTTGGTTTTGAAAACTATTGGTCATCAAAAATGGAAGTTTTTGACCCTCACTGGGGACCCCAGGGAGTGGTAATATCACTGCTTCCTCAAAGTGAAGGCAGATGTTTGCAGGAGGGGATTGATACTGAGAGAAAGTTTTTTAGGCTCACATAAAAATATCATTAATAAAAGATTAGTATTTTTTAAAAGAAACAAAAAACTTATGGCTTGTTTTTCAGGCTTCAGTGAAAGTTGTCTACAGGACTCCACAGGATATTTTTCATAGGCTGTTTCCAAATCTATGATTTCAACAAGATATTTATTTAAAGTTACAGTGACTCAGAGAAGTTTCTTTGGTTATTTTGTTGTTCGAGCATTAGTAGAAGATAGAACATTTTGGGGTATTAGGTTAAATTTTAATCAGT